TAAATGGGTAGAGGCTGGATTGAAAATAAGTCGGATATCGCATTCACTGGATGTTATGCAACGGAGTGGAGCTGTTGGAGGACAAGGCGTTGGAATTGCACGCTGGCCCTGAACTATAAAGGAACAGCAGAGTCATGAGAATCAAGCAAATATTCAAGTCTGGGGTAGCGTATCGCGAGGCATGCCCAAACAGGCCCTGCTACTACATAGGTCAGACTGGTCGCACATACACGAACATGCGCTGGTCGTGCAAGATTAGAACTGTTTCAATTAGCAGCTTGCACTTCTGAACACCATGCCATGAAGTCAACATCGCAACCGTCAGGATAATCGTTCACACCGAAAGCGCGACAAGTCAAGAATTGATTGAGGCCTGAGTATGAGCCTATGGACTCAATTGATCGATGAATTGAACCCGCACGTTCACCCTTGGACTAGCACCATTTATGGATGATTTGCTTGTTCTATTTGAAACTGTCGTTAGAATCTCTGACGAGGGACTCCTTCATGAATTGAGGAAGACAAATTGCTATGTTACTCGAATAAATGGACAAAAAATCCGCTTTTCCGTCCGCAGAAAGAAGGAACACTGAAGGAACGGTTTTCCGAGGCTACCGTGGCAAAGGGTGGACGTCACCATCCAATCCTCGAGTACAAGATAGTGGGCAACATTCGCCAGGTTAGAATACCATAAGTGTTTAGAACCTTGTTTTACTATAGGCAACCGCGATTCGTCAAATCGTTGCAGAGCCACAACCTAAGGCCATCTCTTCGCCAGACTGGAAGCAGTTTGTTTAGCTAAAGGTAGCTCCACCAATAGTAAACACATCAGGTAGGCCGCAACGCGCCTGGGTGGAATTTATTCCTGCCCTCGGCAATCTCGTTGTTCACGTTCTACATTACTATACATATAAAGGTAAATAAAACACCTACTTAAATAATTAAAGTAGGCACCATGTTCGACTACTCAAAACAGTCGTGGAAACCGCAAATTACCTGCACCAGACGCTTCTTCTCCGCATCGTAACCAGGAATTTCACGTCTGCCCGCAGCCAGGATTGCAGAACGCAGGTTGCTTCGATGCAGTCGGAAGAGGCTTTCACGAGATTGTTCGTTTCCCTACAGGACAGAAAGTCATCAAATGTATGGTTAATTAAGTCAACATAGGGCAGTTCGAGTTCGCAATGTTCACCACGTGCTTCAGCAGGTTGAAAGCAAACGGGGAGACCTGTGCGAGAGTTATTTTGAAGTGACATTAGACATGCGTTGCATCTATCGTACCACCACCTCCCTCACCCAGCCCTGCTCGGAGTCACGCAGACTGGGAGGAGAGGGTGGGGTCAAGCGCACGTGACACACACACAGTGGTATAACAGTGATAAGGTGCAAGTGACTGGTGCGGCGTAAGCTTGCACCTAGGCACGCCACCACGTTCATTGACCCAAAACAAACACCTGATCGCGATCACAACATACAAACAGAAACTAAGAGAGGTAAGT